TTGTTGCTTTGAACTGAGAAATTTCAATGCATTTCTTTAGCTCCTGATCATAAAAAATGCTGGTTGGTATGTATGATACAAAAGAAACAAGCTGCCAAGTCAAACTGCTTCTCCTTAAAATGTCAGATGCATCTTCGATCCAAAAATAGTTTACGAAAGCTTTACACTGAGTGCTGTGCTAGGTATTAAGAGGTCATACAAAACCAGTTTGTAATGAGGTTAAACAAATAAACATAGCCTTAAACTGAAAGTTAAAAATTCATGAAAGGTATAATTATCTCATTTTAAATGCAGTTCAATCCTGCTGCATCTCTATTTAAAGATAAGAGATTCTCAACCACTGTCTAATAACACAAACTCTGTAGGTTCTAAGTTCCCATAAATAAAAAAGTAAAATAATTTGACCCACTTGAGTAGAAATGTCCAAACTGCAGCTTAAGGACAACTACAACCCTAAAAAAAAAAAAATAAATAATCCAAGAGTTGCATAAATAAGGTTTATCAGCATATTAAACATTCCCCTTCCACATATATACAGCCTTTCAGAAAATAAGATACAAATAAAAAAAATAAAAAAATCTTAAAATATAAATTTAAAGGTGGACCTTTTGACTTGCTTTGACTTTGTTAAATAGAGCAACAAGCATTTAATGACTTGCTGAAAAGCAGACTTGGGCAAAGCCACTTGTTAGACTTTGCTTAATAATACAAGAAGTAAGGCACTTCCTGTTCTTCTTGTTATAAATAAACAAAAAATTATGAAAAATGATGAACCTAAATATTCAGGGCACTGAATGCAGTTTATTTTCTTCTTTAAGATAAAAAAAAATAATTCAAGCTTGGATAAATAATTTATTTTGGATTTACAGATCATTTTTACAGTAAATAGACCGATTTGCTAATTTCGTAAATATATAGAACCTTTAGTCTATTAAGAAAATAAAATGACAAAAAAAAAAAAAAAGAAGAAGAATTAGTCGTGCAACACTTAAGGTATAGAGGACGATTTTTTATTTCCTGGTGGATCATCTAAATAAGTGGTCCTCTTAATTTTTAATCATTCTGGCAATATGTTTACGTAAGGCCGTCCTACGTACTCGTCCCGTTAGCTATCTTTTTCTGCGCACGTGCAGTTTCAGGCATATACGTATGGTGAGCTACGGCTTCAGACAGTCTTTGAAGCTCACCTTTCTCACTGCGGGTCTTTGAAAATGGCAGAGGGTCGTAAGAGAAAAAGTGTCTAAAAAATGTATGAGAAGAAAAGAAAGGTTTTGCATGTGCATTTCTTTTTTAAGTAGAGAGGGCGGGTCTTATAAAAAAAAATAAAAAATGCGAAAATCCTCCACAATACCTTGTGAAAATACTGAGTGTTTTTATTCCTCTAAAGTGTTTTAAATGATTAATGTTGAAGTGCATGCAAATGAAGCCTTATATTTTCTTTCTCCAGCAGAGTAAATATTCGCTTATTTAAAAAATTGTGTTTAAAAAAGGACCATTTAAACTTGCAAAGCCATATGCATTGCAAGCAATAGTGATAGCATGTGTGAATACCTAATATTATTGGAATATTATTGCCATTGGCCGATATTGGCTTTAAGACTAAATATCTGTCATAAGCTACTCTACCAATATAATTTACTGACATATAAGGCCCTCTTTTTGTGACAAAAGAGTTAGGACTATGCTTGCGCCAGCAGATTACTTTAACTAAACAGACGCACGAGTCTGTTGCTAAAAAACTTTGGTGGCGTTTATCTTTTTTTACATTCCAGAGTGGAAAACCAAAACTGCTAGTTGCAATGACTACACCAATAGGAAGAAAACCGCATAGTGTCTGCCAGTAGGTCTAGGGAGGGGGGGAAAAAAAATACATTGTTATCTTCCAGTTGAGTTGCAAAATATCGGCCAAAATTCCAGTATCACGTATCCTTAGTAGCATACAATTATTTACATGTTTTGTTTACATGTTACAGTGCCTTCAAAAGTAACCATAGGAACAATTAACAGGGCCACTGTCTGGAGGAGATCATGTCAGTAGCCAAAGTTCACAAAACCACAAGTAATTGGAACAAAAGCAGCCAATCTAAATCAAAAATGTCATGTTAACATGTCAGTTGAAATATTGTGATGAGATTCGTGATGATGTGAATGAAATTGTAGCCCGACATTGAATAATTCTGCCACAATAAAAGCATTTGCCAGATGATAGATTGTCCAAGAAATAATTGCAATAACAGTGTTGTCATTTAGTTTGAATCCAAAGTGTTTCCTCACAGAAGCTTTGACACCAATCCCATTGCAGTTTTCCATATCTTAGCTCATATTAATTGAGCTTATTTAAATATACATAATGGTTATTTTTAAACATGTGAATCAATAATCTATTGTGGTGTTGTCAAAAGTATCTATACTCTGAAAAGTATTGATACTCATGTTGTGTTTTAGAACATAGTACTAATTTGGCAGGGTATCGATACTAAATCCATCTAGTATTTTCATGCTTTTGCTATTGTTTTAGATTTCTATAATTTTTTTTACATTAAAAGACTACCTCAAACAATCTTAAAATATTGACTGATTGTGCTATAGTACGGTTACTTATTTTGCATTTACTGGCATACTTATTGAACCAATAGAATCTGTGATTCTGTTGAGAAAACATGTGTTTGGATTAAAAAAAAGAGTGAGCTTTTCATCTTGCTAAATAGATTTTTATGCCATTAGTTATTTGGCATTCTTTCTATTCCAATGGTAGAAAAAGTTGTATGAAGTATAAAATACTTTGCAGGGTATTGATATCAAGTTTGAAATTTTAGTAATGTGGGAACCCTTGTTTATAGTGACAGGCCTAACTGTTAATGCCTGCTGGAACAGTGGACCAAAAGCAGCAGGAGAGGATGTGACGTATGAGCAATGGATTTGAGTAAAAGCGGAAAAATAAAAATGAAAGCTTGATTCTATGCGCAAACTAGTATAAAGAGTCTTGTGGGGCTACATAAAGTAATGAGGAGACACAGCTACATCTAAACACCAAATAAGTAACAAAACTCCTGACAGACTGTTTTCTTTGTGCTTCTTCAAAAATTTTTTTAGTGCAATACTGCCCGAAAAAACACTCCATTGCAACTGGGTGATGTTATTTGGCCTCAGGGGCAGAGCTAGATGGGGGCCAGAGGTGGCCATGGCCACCCTTAGCCAATCATTGGCTACCCCCACCATTTTTCCCTCTGCTAAATACAGACAGTGACAGCAGTAATACTCTCAAGGGGAATGTTCAAACTTAAACATTTTAATTTTTCATTTATTAGCAATTACTTGAAAACTAAAACAATGTGGTTAATTATACACATCAAAATACTAACATTTAAGTTGATATATACAGAATTCATGCTCTCTTCAGAACTAATTTTTTATGTTCTATGGGGTAAAGCGAAAATTCTGCATCTCTGCAAGTCATCTAGGAGTCTTCAGTGAAATCATAGATAACTACTTTAATAATAACTTAATGTAGATATTAGTCCATGTAAATATTAATTTTATGCAGAACAACTTTTGATAATAGTTGCCAAGTAATGACAATGAAAAAGGTGTTCGCCCCAGAAATTTTGTCCACTAAACCTTTTATTTCGACAGAAGGGATGTTTAAATATGTGTCTATTTGTTAGCAAAGGCTGAAGGAAAGTATAGTTAGTCATATTTAGAAAATATGGATGTTGTGCTCGTTCCAGTTTAGATTGACCCTGAGGTTCTGGTGTCTATCAGTTTTCGGCCACCTCTCAGTGTACATTGGTTTTCTGGCTACGCCTCTGTTTGGCCTGATCAATAAAAAAATTAAAAAACATGCCAACCCATAATATTTCACAGCATATCATCACTAAAAAGTTGCATACAAGCTCATATATATAACCCTGCTTAAATTTACACCACACATGTATTACTTGGTTTTCTCTAGAATGGGAATTATAATCCTGTTTGATCACAACAGGAAGTCTGTGATTGGTTAAATGTTGCCTCTGCCCAGCACTGGCAATTAAAATGTCATAGATAGAACACCTGGCAAACATCAAAATCAGAATTGGAGAAAAAGCCGGAAGCAGTAGGTAGAATAAAACCCAAAGTATTCCTGTCAAGCAGCATGGGAAACAACAGGGGATTAAAATCCAGTAGAAGCACATCAGCAGTCCTGCAGGTTTGACTGCGGTTCACGACAAACACCAGGAGGACAGATTTGTTATGGAGAACATGCCAAGACAAGGGAACAAGCTGCTGTGAGAGAGGAGGGTTTGCGCTACTGGAGCCCAGCAGCATAACAAGGGTGTGGTGACTCAGAGAAAGGAATTTCCTCGGGACACACTAATGTTTTATCCCTTATCTACAACAGAACAAAAGGACAGACTTTGACCACATAACCAAATAAGAAAAAAAAAAAAAAAAAGTCGAACATTTTGTGCTTTGTTTCGATATATTTCTGCTTTCCAGGAATTATTGCGTTACTGAAGAAATAAAAAAACACCACAGTTCCCAAATCCCTGCTCGCCAAACAGGTTTTCAATAAGAAACCGAAAATAAAGTTAAGTGTACTTTTTGCACAGAACTAAACATGGCCCCCCACACGCACACAGCTGAACTTTCTCCAGTTAATTACATTACGCAATGAAGTGAAGAATATAAGTAGAAACCGAGCAAAGCTATGTAAGAAACCAGGAATACGTATAAAATGGTTTTCCATTACCCTGGCAAACAGGTGTGCCCCCCTCTCTCTCTTTTATTATCTGTATTTGCTGTCGACCAAACCTCTGAAACTATGAGGAAAACTTCCACCCAAGTCACAGGTTTCAACTCGCCAAGCTGCCGCTGGTATTTCGACTCATTAACGTGTTCACTGGAGCGGGTGGAACCGATACTTTCCCCGAGCCGTCAAACTGACATTAACGACTCCTTACGCCCCTTTTTAATACATCGGCTGTATAAAGTATTAAAAATGGACGTTTACACCTCACCTCTCCCAAAGATTGTGCCTTCAGCTAACCAAGAAGCTCCGTGTTTCCCCGTTTGAGTGCCGTTCTAATATCCACGAAGCTAATCAGAGGGACTGGTCCGCCTGATATATTTGAAACCTCCCATCATGCTGCATTTGAAGAGCGCTCGGAAATTAACTGCCCTCGTTGAGGAACGATAAAACAAACAACAAATATCCAAACTAACACAATCCGTTTATGAGACAAATGCAACAATTTTTATAAGGGTGTATTTATTAAATCCTTCTGCAACGACCAAAAATAGTAATTTTGCGACTCTCAATATCTAACAAATCGAACAACGTACCGTCCCCTTCAAATAGAATGCTGAAATTTTCGAAGTGCAAACAAACATAGCACCAGTCTTGATCCTTTCATATTTAAGCGCCTGCTTTCCATTGGTCAAAACATTTCAACAGTTAAATGTCTCCTCCTCTTTACGGTTAAACTACAATGACATCATTTATTTACGAGATGGTGTATTTTAATCATTGTTTCCTATTTAAAATGGACTTTCAATTCCATGTAACATTTTTGTCGCCTCATTAAAAACATTATTATTATAATTATCATTATTGTAGTTGTTTGATGGTTTCTTGCGTAAGGAAATATACTTTGACCCAAGTGCTTTTCTCCCACAGAGCAACAGGAAACCACACAACAGGGATTTGAGCTTTTTAACATGCCATTCTCCCAGTAAGGTCGCAAGTTCAGCCCACCCCCCCACCCTACACTGTTGTAGCCTACAGGGTTAGCGGAACATTTCCACTAACAGTAGGGACATTATTAGACCACACTGGTTCACCGCAGGCAATTCTATATCAAAACTTGGTTCTTCTAAAGTCAAGACAGGAAGTTTTGAAAGTCAGGGGAAAAGAAATGTTATTCTACAAGAAGCCTTGGAGCATTGGTATCAAAACAGCCTTGTAAGATTCGGATGAAAATTTTTCCCATCATGTTAAATCTGGGGATTTTTTTTCATCCTGATGCTTTACTAGTAAACTGAATTGTCCTTTACAGTTTAAATAGTAATACAAGCATTATGTGGTTACCTAAAACAAAGCGCCTTTCAAGGGGGGTACCACAAGGGATTAATGCTTTTCTGTGTATTACCTTGTACTAGGCCTTCTGATTTATGTAAGCAAATTTTTGTAAGAGTTTGAGACTGAATTAGAGTTTGAAAAAAACATGTTAAGTAATGCACATTTACAACATATGAAAAAAAGATGAAAAAAAAAAAATAAAGTTATTTCCTTAGACTAAGGAAATGTGCAGCTGTGTGGTATTTAAAAACAGATACAAAATATGCATATATTTTTATATTGTTAAAAAACTTTACAGTACAGTATATATGTTTTTTAACTCTTCACTATTATTTTATCTTTATACACTCTTCTAAGGTCCAATTGCCAATACAATTTTTTTTTATAATCTTGCTGCTATAAACACCAGAATGTCCCCATTGTGGGATAATAAAGGGATTTTCTAATCTAATCTACTCTATTCTATTCTATTCTATTCTATTCTATTCTATTTGAGCAACAGCAAACAAAAAAAGGATAGACTATTTACATGCTAAACGGAAACAGAAAAACAAACCACATTAATCAAAGCTAACATTTTGAGTTTTAATATGGTATTACAGAGAGACCTATTTCTTGTAGGCAGTGGCTGATAGAGTGTTCAAGGGTGACAGTTAATAAGGACAGAGGAGAGGGAAAACTTTATCTCACTTTTAAAAAGAATGGTATCTTAGAGTCACTTGGTCTCTGTAAAAAAATAAATAAATGAATGAATAAAAAAAACAACAATAGATTCTATGATTGTAAAAAAAAAAAAAAAAAACAGTTGTAGCACATTAGGAGCAATCTGGGGATAAGTGTCTTGCTCTGACACCAAGAGTTACAGTCTTGGTTTTGAACTAGTGCTCCAGGATGTAAATGCCCTGCTCTCAAACCACTAGTTAACCACAAAAAAAATTTCTGCCCAACTGTCACAAGTCTTTATTAATAGAGTTTGTTCAATTACATACTTTGTGATTAACTGGACTGGAGTGTTTACTCAGATGATGATTAGATTGCAAAGTGTTGGATTGACCTGAATAAAATAGTGAGTAACTAAGATAATTGCTTATATTCAAATATGGTGAAGGATCTGTAATAGTGAAAGCATGTTTCACTTTCAAAGACCCTGGATGTTTTTTTTCTATTATAATTGTTGAGCCAGTGGTAGATTTAACTCTTTGAAATACCATGATGATTTAAAAAAATATTTAATTAAATCCAATGATACAGTAAATCTAAACATAATGGTTATCAGAGGGAAAACATTTTTTGACTCAGTTGCTGAGTGATAAAATCGTAGTTCTCCTTCCGCTCAACAGGTTCTGTTGCTGTTAAGCCATTTTAAGCACTCTGTTTTTTTTATCCCAAAATGTATGTTTTATGCATAAACCCTGTTTGAATACAAATTACTACAACCATTCAATTTTTTCTATATAGAGGATTTTCCAAATTGGTTCTTCTAATCCTAAAGAAACTAACTAACAACAAATGTTTGGGTATTTTCTGTTATCCTTTTTACCTACTTCCCTCCTTTTTTAGATTAAATTAACACATTATGTAAAGAAATCACAGACAATTCTATAGACTATACCTTCTTGATTTTCAATGAAAAATAACAAAGTCTTTTTCCAAATGTTTTATATTTAATTCAACAACAAAAAAACAAAAATGTTTTGTTTGAAATGTCCTCTGAAAGAGTAAAACAGATCATTTTCACCCGAACCAAAAAAGCATGTTTTAAGTGGTAATTTAATAATAAGAAAGCTGGAGAGAAAAAAAAGAGAAAAAAAACTATCAGGTAGGGAGAAAACACAAAGTCTCATAGCGGTTAGCTAATAGTATGGCAGTGTTATTAGGCTGAATTGTTAAAACAGCAAAACGATGGTCTTTGTGCCATGTCTAAAACATATACATATATATGCAGTTCTAAGCATACATTTTTTTGGAAAGGTTGAGGTCACACATATAATTGAACATAATCAACTTAATAACCTTCCTTAATGTCCCACTATTTATGTTATTTTATGAGGAACAGATGATTTTCACAGACATCTTGCCCTAATAATTTCTGTTACTTACTGTCTGGTTAGAAGCGGCATGGAAAGATCACAGCATAAAAGAGAGCGGCAAATAAAAGATTTATCTTTTAAAAAAGAGGGGATCTGAATTATTTTTAGAAATATCAGTGCAAAGAATTTGTAGGTGGGAAACGTTAAGACCATAGATTAAATGAACAACCAGCAATTTGGAAAAACAAAACAACAAAAAAAGACTCACTGTGCTTTTACCTAAATCTCAGCAGCTCTCCTTTACTTCACTGGTTTATTATTTTAAAACAGACAATTTAAATGAATCACTAAGCTTTGCATAATATGCTTGAAACAGTCTTACTTTATATTAAAATATGTATTTAGTATTGGCCAGAAACGAAACATATTTTCTTTGCTTGGAAGTTTAAACTAAATGCTAAACATTTCTTGTCTGTATTCTAACTTATCTCTGTCATATTTTAGCTTCATGTCAAATACAAATAAAGAATCTCATTTCATTTTAGTTGTTTTAAACATTCATAACAGATATAATCTCAAGGCCCTTTCCAGTCTTATCATGTAAACAAAAAGACTGACTCCACAGCAATCCTTTAGAAAGCATGTTGTGAAAGTGGATTGTTGTTTGCTTTAAGTGATTCAATTACTGCAATCCCACATTCTATGCAAACACAATACTCATCTGGGCTGGTTTTGTTTTTTTTAACTAGAATAACAATCCAACCCATCCTACTATGAGAAGCGATCTGTAGCTACCAACAAGGAGTTTGAAAAGTAGCTTAGGCACACTAAAAGCCATGGAATAGTTGTAATGTCCTTTTTATTAAGAATTGGAACAGATCAACCTGACAGGATCTTTCTAAATATTAAACGACTGTCTAGAAAGTCTATTATTTTGGATGTTATTGTCAAAAAGATGGCAATTAATGTCTTTTCTCCTAATCACAGACAATAAGAAGTTATCCAGCCTTTTATATAACTATTGTAACTGAGCTTGATCTAAATAAGCACTGAAATGTTCAAATGTCCTCCAAATCCTATGATTAAATGCTGCAGTATGATTAAACATTGATGAAAGTCTGATTTAAACCAAAAGCATGAGCTGTTTATAATAATTAGTTAATTACTAGTTTTGTCCTAATTGTACAATGCTCTTACAGACATCAACAATTAATGAGGTTCTTACAAATAAAGCAAAAAGATAGGTGATGGGACCTCAAGGGGAATTCTTTAACTCTTGATTTTATTCATATCTGCTAAGACATACTTTTCACTAGCTGTATTGGTTTTTTAATTCATAAAAAAAAAAATCTGAATTGAGACATTTATTAAAACAAAATATATAACCAGTGATGCATAATGAAATAACTATACAACATAGTTAGAACTATACATCATACAGCTTCTATAACAGAAGCTGTACGATGACTGAAAGTTTTTATCAAAGCTCACTTTGTTGTAATTCTGTGCCCATGCGCTACGTTATCCTTTAGGTCAGATGAAAATATCAATACAAGCGTACTTGACATTTATGATATTTTTTCGATTCTGGCCTTGTATGGATCAGTGAACACAGAGAACAAGAGAACTGGCTCCAGGTTTATGCAGACCGCTGAGTCATTCTTCATGTCCAGGAAGAGGTTTACTTCAGAGTTTATTTCATGTCCTCAGCTCACCCTTACATCTACTACACAGCTGAAATGTGAGGAAATGCTGACACTTAGTGATGGTGCATTCAAATTACACCTAACATGTTAGTCGACATCCTAGAGGAGAGCAATGTTTCTACATTGCAATGTAATCTGATCTGATCTCATCAGAATTATCCAAGTTGTATTAGTCTAATAAAATCTCATTAACTTTGATAAAAAAACAAACAAAAAAAAAAACATTACATTACAAAAACTTGAAGTGAAAGATTGCAGCCATAATTTTTTTAAACTAAGCTGTGGCCGACTACACAAAGATAAATCCTCAAAATTAGCAACAAATAATTA